CCGGACTTAGGATTCGCTGTTAGTACTCTCAGTAGGTACATGTCTAATCCAGGTCCTGAACATTGGGAAGCATTAAAGTGGCTTTTAAGATATTTGAAGGGTACAAGTGATGTAGGTCTAAAATTTAGTGCTAATAAGGAAGGCGTGAAATTAAAGGGTTTTGTAGATGCTGACTATGCAGGAGATAGGGATGGTAGGAAATCAACTTCCTCTTACGTATTCACCTTATCAAATTCGTGTGTTAGTTGGAAATCACAGTTACAACACATAGTTGCACTATCCACTACAGAGTCAGAATATATTGCCACCACTGAAGCAATTAAAGAGGCTCTATGGCTTAGAGGTCTACTTCATGAACTGAATGTCTTGAATGAGTATGTGGTTGTGTATTCTGATAGTCAGTCATCCATACGTCTGTGCAAGAATCCTATTTTTCACGAACGCACTAAACATATCAATGTTAGGTTACACTTCATTAGGGATATAATATCACAAGAAATAGTAAGACTTGAAAAAATTCACACACAATATAATCCTTCAGATATGGGCACGAAAGTACTGCCACTGGTAAAGTTTAGAAGTTGCAAGGAGCTTCTAAACATCGGTACAGGTAAATGATTTCAATTTTATCGATTTTCTGTTAGAGGTGTCACTAATGGAAAACGTTTTTCTTTGCAGGTCTTTTGACACCAAGGTGGAGGTTGTTAGACATCATGTTGTCAAACGACCTCCCAGACGATGATGAAAACCAATTTTATCAGTCGACATGAATGACTGAACGATAAATTAACACCGAATAATGGATGAACCGACCTAGGGTTGCTTTGCCTATTGGATGGCTAATAATCTTTGTGGCTTGTTGTTTTTCTGTTGGGACTTAAACCTAGTCGAACCTACTTACCATATTGTGACTTACCTTAAGTTGGCCATTGAACTAACAGATATATTGGTAATTGGTCCTTCTCCTTTGTGCCGTGCTTGAAGAGAACCCAAGAGAGAGAGGCGTTATTCTTCTTCTCCTTCATGCATCCTGTCAATTTATCTTCCGTACCAATTGCTTGAGGCTTTGTGACTCTTACCTGTGTGGTATCCATCCATAGTGTGTGGTAGAATCAACAAGCAAAAGAGCAAATAGTAACCATAGGAAGAGTTGGCGCCGACGGTCGGTCATCCCGGTTTTCGGTGTTGAATTCGATGTTTAATGGTTAACTGAGCCCGGAAATCACTTTGAGCAGCTTGAGGAAGATCCTAACATATGTGAGGGCTCTCCTTCTTCAGGGTGTTCCCTGATCCTTCGAGGTGCAGATTTCTTTTCACTAGTACTCATGATATTCTCAAGGTATCTTTCTAAAGTGATTGGTGTTCCCTTTCTTCCTAGGGGTAAAAATGGTGTCCTAAGCAAATTTTTCCCCTCTTTTTTGTGATCCTTTCTTTATGGATACCTCATTTTATTCGAAGGCATAGGGTTCTTTTAGACTAATGTTGCTGGCTTTTCTTCACGAAATTTTTGTGGTAAACTATTTTGTTTCTCATAGACGGTGCCAATCTATTGACCTCCAGAAACGTGCTTACACGTGTCACTTCTATATAATGCACACATAGATAGATTCCATAAGATGTTGATCGAAAGCTTAATTGAATATTCGATTATTGGATAAATGTGCTTAAACACATAAACGAGAAGTATATCATTGAAAGTATATGTAAAGGGATTATATAAAGAGCAAGTGTTCATAGAAAGAAAACCACAATATTCTACTTCTATATATCGAGATTCATCCCCTAAAAATGTTACAAATGCTTCTATTTATAGTGACCAGGCCAACTTGGTCACCGTTGGATCTAACCTACATGGCCTCATTTGCTAACCTTGGTGTCACATCATCTTGTCTTACATTAATTACATTGATAGACACATTTGACAAGGAGTCGACCGCCCTGCACTACTAAGCTGACATTCCTGACATCTACTTGATGAGAACGTTACATCAATCAATCCTAAAAATATACTTATTAGACCTACTCTTGAGAGCCACAGACCTCGGTTGTGAAAGAGTTCGGTAGAAGTGAGAGAACCAATCCAGCCAAATGATGAGAGCACTTCAGTAGTAGTGCCTTGGCCAGTATCTCTTTCTTTATTCTTAATAAGAGTGTAACATATAATATTTTTTCCTCTTAATTATTGCATTCGTGTGATTATTTGATTCCAAAATATACTAATTATACTTATGTTTTGATTCATGTAGCATTTTGGTAGATATTATGAAATTTGGGAGAAAAGACCAAAAAGGACCAACGTAGAATAAAATGAAAGTTCGAGGACTAAAGTGCAAATACTCCAAACTTGTGTCTAACCTTATGATGAAGATTCAAAAGTATTAGAGGTCAAGTGGATGAGGAAATAAGTCAAAAGGATGAAATATCATCAAAGTATGATGGCACATCAATTCCCAATTGAAAAAGTTACGCACTGATTTTCATCCTCATATTGAGAGCAATTTGTGACATGTCAAGCGATCAAATTGGAAGATGAAATTAAAAGAAAATTATAACCCTTTTAGTTAAATTTTCAACACAATTTGAATCACATAAATCAAACATGAGGAGGAAAAGTTATGGCCAAAATACTAAAAGCTATTCGGCGGGAAAAAAATTTGAACTATGCGATCACATAGTTCAAAAACCATGCGACGCCATAGAAGGCTCCAGAGATTTTGAGGTAGCAACTGAGTTATTCTATTCGACCACACGAGTTTCTACTACTCTGTCGCGTAGAAGTAATTCTGGGCCAAATCTTCAATTATTGTATTTGAAGCCACCACTTATGAAAACACGTTTTCATAGGTTTCTTTAGGCCAAAAACATTCCAGAACGTGGGGAATTCATCTAGAGAACATTCTTCTCATCTTTTGACACATGAAAACTCCATGGAAGGTTAGAAAACTCTTGGTGAACCAAGGAATGAACTCCATTGGTATCGAGTATTTCAATGTTTTTCATGCATATAATGTGATTTCTATTATTAAAAAATTCTAATATTTGGATTCCATATTTACATAAGCTTGTTTGAAATTGATTCAATTTGTTTGAAATTCTTCATAGATTCAATCACATTTTTTCTATCGAAGGGTTGAGTTATTTATTGAGTTTTGATTTCAATTATATCATTGGTATGATTTTCCAACTTCTTATGCTAGATCTATATGATTGTGTTCGAATCTAATTTCAATAGATTAAAGTGGTAACGTAATGAGGAAAATCTAAATTTTTGAATTATTGTAGAATTGAATGTGTATTGAATGTCATATCTTCCAATTAGAGTATCGGGATGAAAGTCTCTAATTGAGTTAAATGCGTAATTGACAAACGTTGATTGAACCAAACCAATCGAGGAATTTTTGATGCTTCACTATTTTCCATATTGATATTTAAACCCCGCTTCAAATTGATAAATTATTTTCATACATATCACGACGAAAACCATAGTTTGTCAAATCCTTTAAGCAATTTTCCCATCTCCCTGTGGAATCGACACCCAAGGCTATACTACAATCATCACACTTTGGGCGTAATCAAATTTTTGCGCCGTTGTCAAAGAAATGGTACAAATAATCGAAGGATTTTCGAGCAAAATGGTGACTTCATTCCTCTTTACATTTTTTTTGTTAGTTTATTTTCTTAGTTAGTAGTTTATTATTTCTCACAACCCATTTTCGTGCTTTATGAACAGGGATCAAGACGTGTATGGATGATCTATTGCAAGGCTTCCACCAGTGTTTGAATCTCTTCCTAACTCTCTCTTTGATACCGAATCTATTGGCACACACATCACATCACACAACGCAATGACTAATAGCGAACACAAAGAGACACCAACTATGACTTTGCATGATTATCTTCATCCCACACGCACATCTATACCATCATGTATTATATTTCTACCTAATATGCCACGTATGGACCTTAAATCGAGAATGATCCAAATTCTTCCTACCTTTCCAGGTCTTGAAAATGAAAACCCATACGTACATATTAGGGAATTTGAAGAGGTAGTTGCAACTTTTCACAATCAACTGGTACAATGGATGCAATCAAGCTTAAATTTTTCCCATTTTCTCTTAAAGAAAAAGTAAAGAGCTGGATGTATTCATTGCGACCACGTTCGATTGGGATTGGGCTTAAATGACCCAAGCTTTCTTTGGCAAAGACTATCCCCATCACAAAATCACTGCCCTTAAGAAGCAAATCTCTTCATTTGCCCAAAAGGATAGTGACGCCTTATACCAAGCTCGGGAAAGATATAAAGAGTTGCATGCCCTTTGTCCCCACCATGGTTATGAGAGTTGGTATGTGGTGAGTTATTTCTACGAGGGATTAACACCTAGAGAATGCTAGTTTGTTGAAATGGTGTGTAATGATGATTTATTACAAAAAGATCCAGATGAGGTTATAGAGTACTTAGATGAGTTAGCCGAGAAAGCCCATACCTTGACTGGACCTTGTGCCACTGATAGCACCAATAAGTCACAACCCTCCGAAAACACCACTAACATAGGCGTTTATCATCTTAGGGAGGAGGATGACCTTAGTGCCAAGGTAGATGCCCTCACTAAAGAACTCGAAATCTTATGTGCTAGTGACTCAAAGCCTATACAGAATGCATCCCATGTTGAATCTTTAGGACCATGTTTTGTTTGTGGCGGAACTGATCATCCAGCTCAAGAGTGCACTACCTACGCTGAGATGAATGGAGTTTATGAGGAACACTGCAATGCATTAAGCACACATAATAAGCCGTATGCTCCCTTTTCTGAAACTTACAATCCTCGGTGGTGGAATCATCCCAATCTCAACTGGAAATCTGAAAACCAACAATCTGCCAACCAAATAGAGCTTACATTGTACCATCATACCCGCCCACATCTTTTAGGAACACCTTAGAGGATACTTTATATGCTTTTATGGAGGCACAAGGTAAAATCAATCAAAAATTTAAGACTATGATCACCCAAGTAGTTGAGAAAACCAAAGAGATGAAAAATCATATGTCCAAATTGACCAATGTCTTAGTTGTAATGGAACGTGGAAAATTTCGAACACAAGCTCAACCAAAACCTAACGGACAACATATGGCACAAATCTCAGGCTCAGGAGAAAATAACCTTAAGGAAGTTATTGCCATAACTACTCGATCTAGAAAAGTTATAGAACCAACCCCCAAACCTAGGGAAAATGAAAAGGACCCCTATAGCGCAGAAGATGGTATCCCTAGTGAGGAGGTAGTGAAGAATCCATCCAAAGTACCATTTCCTCAAGCTCTCAAGTCTACCGCAAAACCTACCAGACAACATAGTGAAATCCTAGAGCACCTCAAACAGGTAAAAATCAACCTACCTTTCATGCACGTGATTTCATAGGTTCCTATGTATGCTAAAGTCATTAAGCACTTATGCACTGTATAAAGGAAACACCAAGTCAAGAAAACAACTTTCGTGACTGAACAAGTGAGTGCAATAATTAAGGAAAGGATTTTACCCAAGTATAAGGACCCTGGTTGCCCCACTGTGTCTTGCACAATTGGGAACCATGAGTTTGCACAAGCTCTTCTCGATTTAGGGACCAGTGTCAATATCACACCTTATGACCTAGGGGTAGTTGAGGATGTGCTAGTACAAATTTACAAATTTTACTACCCTGTGGATTTTTTTATTTTGGATGTGAAAGTAGATGTGAATGTTAACTCCAAGATTCTCACTATTCTTGGTAGATCTTTTCTTGCTACAGCTAAGGCTCTTATCAACTGTAGGAATGGTTTGATGAAGCTATCTTTTGGGAACATGACCTTAGACGTCAATATCTTTCACATCATGAAACAGTCTGAGGACGATGACGAGTTTCATCAAACATACATGATTGATGCACTCATTGAGGAGGAAGTACATGCGCTTATTGACTTTGACCCTTTAAATTCTTTCCTTTTAAATTCTAAAATTCCCACAGGGTATGATAATGGGGAATATGCTGATATTTGTGCTGCTTTTGATTATTTTCAGGATTATGGAACATAATTGGTGCTTATCTTTAATGAGTTTGGTGCAATGCAAACTAGATTGCAAATGACCTGGCTGGATGCAAGGTAAAGAAAGCAATACTAGGTCGAGCCAACAACAATAAACAAAGGCGCTGCTTAGGAGGTAATCCAAGGGAGTTCGTTCCCTTCTCTTTCTTTTTATTTTTATTTTTGGCATTTTTTTAGGTTTATTTCATGCATTATTCACTGCATTTTTTCCATTGAGAACTTTCACTGTGTACTCAGGTGACACCATTCTAGCCTGCACCTGTTACTACTGATCTGATTTCTTCCCTTAACCCATTTTCAAATCGTCTACATTTATCAATTTTGTTCCTTACCAAAACTTGGGCATACTTTGAAAGTTCAATAAATTTCATTTGATATTCTGCAATAGTCATCTGGCCTTGTACTAGTTTAAGAGATTCCTCCTGCTTTGCATCTTTATAGGACCGAGGGTAATAGGCATTGTAAAAGATACGATGAAAATCTGTCCAAGTAATGACGGAAGGGTCTATATATATGCTCCGTACCGACTGCCACCAATCATATGTACCTTCCTCTAATAAGAAGGTGGCAAGACACAACTTTCGATCGTCTGAGCAACCCATAACGTCAAATACCCTCTCTATCTTGGTCATCCATGCCTGCACAACTGCAGGATCGGCTATGCCAGTGAACACTTTAGCCCCTAACTTTGTAGCCCTTTCAATACTAAAATCTCTGTCAGTATTACGCATAGCAGATACAATGGCAATAGCAATTCTTTCAACAACAATAGGATCAATTCCCATCACATTTTCCTGTCCCTGTTGTTCAGGAGGCTGGTGAACTGATTCATCTACTCTATTAGGCTCTCTCAGTTCATCTCTATCAGGAGTAATGTGAGACTGGGGCAACATATCTTGGAGCCTTCGAGTTTTACCACCACGAGGCATGACTCATCTACAGTTATGCATGATATGCTGAACATCATAATGTACGCATGTACAATGCAAACCCATGAACTCTAATGCATGCTCTAATACCAAACTGACATACCATGCCCCGTATAACACCACTAGAACCGGACGACGCATGCGCCGATGATAGATACCAACTAAAAGTTGAACCTACGATCAAAGCTACTACAAATACAATATATCACTTTTTATGTATTATTTTTCTAATAGGATTTCGGCATTATCTCCCCTGTAAAAAGGACTAACCAACCTTTGATCAATTTCACACAAATCCCAAACTATAGCACAGTACAACAAAGATAAGCCGAAACCTCAACCTTTAACAAGACATAAAATGAAATATACATATGGATACAAAACACATAGTGAGCCCCATAGCTATTTACAAGTGATGCAAAATCACATCTAGACGTGAACATACATTCCAAAACACTGACTACATGTTCTATGAAGTGAGTCATAATAACAAACTTTGTCGTGTAGCTCTGACTCCAAAATCAAGGCTCAACTCCCAAAAGATGTCTAGATTCTCAACTGCTGCCTGATAAGGAAAAACGTGGAAAAATATGAGTTGATAGCTCAGTAAGTGAAGAAGTTCAAAATTAATATACTTTTTCATTTATATATTTTTATTGAAAATCAAATTCATATCATTTGATAATTTACAAGCTACAATCATGTAATTATAGTCAAAAAGTGAAATATTCACATGAGTTCATAAAAATATCATCTTAAAATCATGATATAACATCAGCTGATAACCATGCTATAATCTCATCACATCAAACATGCTGAAAATTCTATCAAAAATGTACCCTCTGACTGAAATATATAATCTGCCTCTCAGCTAAGAACTTTCGCCATGGGCCTTTGGCCTCCTCCGTGAACGAAAGCCAGTCTCAAAGACCTCTCATAATCAATTCTAAAATACAGCCAAGGCCCCTCTATGAACTATATGTACACGATCAAGACCAATGTCAGGTCAAGACCCTCCATGTAGGATAGAACACGGCCAAGGCCCCTCAGTGAACTAGAAGAAATATATAATCTCGGGTACTTTTCTGGTCGATCTCAAAATTGCATGTCTCACATACCAAGCAAATCTCCATATCACATGTATTACATAGCAAGTCACAAATATGCCATAAATAATCTTGATATTCCACATGTATCATAATAAAAGAGATTTTCATAATAACCATTTAATTCCAACACATAATTGCACATACTTTGACAATATACTTAATATATAAATATTTTAAAAATATTTATATTTTTCCACTCACAGAACTATGTACGCCAAAATCAGCTCAATTGGCACGCTGTCCTGATATTTGTATCGCGGCCTGAAGTATAATATAATTTTTAAATCAACAATTAACTAATTTAAGTAATTTCAATAATTAAACAGACGATACCCAAATTTAATTATTTCACATTTAGGCGATTTCTAAAGTCTCTTTAATTACTAAAACTAATTTTTCTTTCATTTTACTCAATTTCCTAGTTTATTATACTTAACCCCTTCAATAAAATTAAATTTAACCTAACAATCTAATAACTATAAAATCAAACATAACTTAACAATAAGTAACTTTTTACTTACCTTTCAAAATTGAGAAATTCAAGCCAAATGGTGTAACCCACTTAATTCCTAACACGTTGACAATTTTTTTCTTTTTTTTTTCTACTTTTCTTCCTCTTTTCCCTTTTTTTTCCTCTTTTTCCTTTCTCTTTTTCTCCCTTCTTCTTCTCTGTACCGTTGTTCTTGAGTGTGTATTATGTGTGTGTGTTATTAATTAATGGTTTGTTTAAAAAAAACTTAATGTATTACAGGTTTATAAATAAATCTCAAGAACCAGATTACGCTGTCTGGTTCTCAGTTAAAAAACTGGAATCAAATAGAACCGGACTGAACTGGCTGGTTATGTTCAGATCTAGTTTTAGGTAATCTTGTCTGTATTATGTTGATAAATTACATGTGCAACCTTTTTAACGTGTGTATGTTGTACCTAGGCATGACATAAATGTAAATAATGGACGTGATGTATGTTGGAGATCCTACTGTGATTGAGGATAAGAATGATTAAAAATCCACCTTGCATTCAGTGGTAACTTGCATTGCTTTATATATAGATATTTACAGATTGTGGAAATGGAATACAAATAATGAAATGGTAACTATACAAATAATTCTCTTGTGATTATCCTATGATTACGTGATTGCCTTTAGCATGCTAAGGGAAGACTTTGATTGAGGAGTGATATCCTCAATCATAGTAGGATCTCTAACACCCCCTCCCCGCAAGCTAAGCGTTGGATCGAATCTGATGTGAAGCTTGGAATGAAAGAGCTCAAATAGAGCTCGAGCAAGACTCTTCATAAAAATATCAGCAACCTGGAGATGAGAGGAGACATTTTAGGTGCGAATTTTTCCAGCAATAACAAGTTCGCGAAGAAAGTAGTAGTCCAATTCTGCATGCTTAGCCAGCTTGTTTGAAATCGGATTGGAGCTTAAGAAGATGGCACTTTTGTTGTCACATAAAAGAAGGGGATGCTGAGGCTTGGGTACCTTAAGATCATGCAAGAGATGTGTAAGCCAAATGAGTTTGGTGGCAGTGGATGCAAGAGTACGATACTCAGATTTGTAGCTGGAACGAGAGACAGTCGATTGTTTCTTAGCACTCCAGAAAACTAAATTATCTCCAAGATAGATAGAATAACCAGAGGTTGAACGACAAGTATCAAGGTAGCCAACTCAATTCGCATTAGAATAGGCAATGAGAGCACTAGGATAAGAGAAAGGGTGAAAAGTAAGGCCAAAGTGAATTGTACCTTTAACATAGCGAAGGATGCGTTTAACAGCCAGAAAGTGATCATTCATGGAAGTGTGTAGAAACTAGCTTTCAGAGTTGACAACATGAGCAATGTCGGGCCTTGTGATTTTAAAGTATTGAAGTGCTCCAACGAGGGATCTATAGAGTATGGGGTCAGAGAACAGAGAGCCATCGATGTATAGATGCTGAGAAACAACCATGGGTGTGTGAACAGGCTTACTGTCAAGTAATTGGGCTTGTGTAAGAATGTCTCATGCGTAGTTGAGCTGACTGATGAAGAGACTATCAAAAATTGGGGTGGCTTCAAGACCAAGAAAATAGTTTAGAGAGCCTAAGTCCTTAGTGGCAAACTCAGAGTTAAGTTGACAAGTGAAGCGGGCAAGAAGTGAAGTATTGTTGCCTGTAATGATTATATCATCAACATGAAGGAGTAAATAGATAATATTGGACTTCTAATGATGGACAAATAGAGATGTGTTAGCATGGCTACAAGGAACCTAAGGTGAATGAGAAAAGAGCTGAGGCACTGAAACCAAGCCCGTGGAGCTTGTTTGAGACCATAGAGACTTTCTTCAACTGATAAACATGGTTTGGAAAGCGAGCATCAATATATCCTGGAGGCTATTCTATATAAAATTGTTCAGTAAGAGTACCATTGAGGAATGCATTTTTGACATCAAGTTGCTGAAGATGCCATTTTTGTGTAACGGCAAGAGATAGCACAACTCGAAGAGTAATAGCCTTGATTACAGGACTAAAAGTATCAGTATGGTCAAGACCAGGGACTTGTGTATAACCTTTGGCAACAAGACGAGCTTTGAGGTGCTCAACAGAACCATCGGGCAAATACTTGGTCTGAAACACCCATTTGGAGCCTACAATGTTGGTGGTGGGAAGGCAAGGTACCAAAACCCAGGTGTGATTTTTCTATAGTGGATGAATTTCTTCATCCATGGCAGCACGTCAAGCAGGATTTTTAGCAATAGATTTGAAACCTCTAGGCTTGGTTAACGTATGGAGAGCAAGAAAAAGACCAGAAGTGCTCAAGAAACGAAGATTTGTTGGATGACGATTTTTGAAAATGCCAGCTTTAGCTCTTGTAAACATAGGATGAGTGGCCAACGGGACCATAGGTGTGGGTTCTGCACAGGGTTCAAGAGAAGATGAGCTTGGAACTGAGTGTTGCGGAGAGAGACCTG